TTTTTTTTACGATACGCCGAGAGAGATGCGGGCCCTACACCGATGCACGCTGGTAATAGAGAACAACTCTCGAGGGCCACTGTAATCAAGCTCGTTTTTTGTTTTTTTCACGCGCTCTTTAATTGACGGCGCGCTGCACTTTTAAGAAAACGGCACAGAGGGGCGAAGGGGCATTGTTGGCCGGCAGAGATCAATTTTGTATCGCTATCGAACGTGGTTGGGATAAAAATACACGTATGGGCGAGACAAAAAAAAAAAAAAAAAAAAATTGCACAAAGTAGAACTGAGTACACTCGAAGAGAGGAGCTTTTGATTGTTGTATAGACGTGTGGTGAGCTCAGGGTCAAGTTTGGCACTCGGGCTGAGAAAAAAATCCGGGTCACTGCGACCAAATCGGCCCCACATACTGCCAAGTCGTTGTTTTATTTTTATTTTTTTTTTTTTTTTTTCATTCCGTCTGATGCACTCGAGGTTTAAGGTCGGTCAAGAAGGCTTCGCGTACACATAATATAGGCGTACGTGTTCATTGTACTAAATGATTGACCAAATGAAAAATAAAACACAACAAGTTCCTCACCTTCTGCGGGACCTCGGGCGTCTGGCGACGCGCGAGAGGTCCGAGTTCTTAACAAAGGCGTGAGAGGAAAATCCATTGGCCAGCATGAGCGAGCCTCCACCGATTTGCGGCTCCCTGGCCAGCAGGTCCTTCTCCCCGAGGCTCTCGAAGCTCCTGTACGGCCTGAGCCGGGCAAAAGTACCCCCGCAATCGGCCTCCCTCGACAGATCGGACCCGTTGAGCTGCCCAAAGTCGTGGAGCTCGAGACTGTCCGGCGAGGTCTGCTCCCGGCTGTTGCCACCACCAGCAGCGCCGTGGTGGTGGTGGTGATGGTGGCGATGGTGATGGTGGTGATGGTGCCTGGCCACGCTCGGGGACTGGGAGTTGCGCTGCTGCTGGTGCTGGTACTCGAGCGAGTCGAAGCTGTAACTGGAGAGCGAGAGGGTGGCGCAGGTGCGCTCGAGAGACTCGAACTGCAGGAGCGAGCTCGAGCGCGAGGAGGCGGAGGAAGAGTCGCGGGAGGAGCTCCCGTGGTGTTGGGGCTCGGTGCCGGGGTGGTGGTGCTGGTTGCGGCCCTTGCGCCGGCGCTTCTTCGGTACCACCGAGTTGCACTCGCTGCCGCTTCCCTCGTGCTTTTCGTCTGTGGACCATAATTTGCGTTATTTAAGCGCGTGTCGATGAATCCAGGGTTTGATTCTTTTTTTTTTTTTTTTTTTTTTTTTTTTTTTTTTTTCCAGGTTTTATCCAGACTTGGGGCATTATTGTTTTGTGGATTTTTAAACATTTCGTTTTACCAAGTACATAGCACGTTGTTTGGAATGAAAATAATTTTTTCACCAATCATTGTTCTCGGTGGAGTGTTAATAATAAAATATTGAAATTCTTTTCCAAATATTTTCACTCTATATTTTCATTTTTTTTGCGAACCTGAAAAGTAGCAATTGAACCAATAAATTTTTTTAGCATACAAAAAAGCTTTGCAATTTTAGCAAAAATATTTCGTTACAAAAAAAAAAAAAAAAAAAAGTTGAAAAAGTTTCCTCGCCCGAGTCTGGGTTGAGCTAAGAAGGATTATTCTTTCAAACGCGTCGGAGCAAAGATGAATTTATCATTATAGGAGTAGGTATATACGTGCAGACAGGCGTCTCTATATGCACACTTTGTTGGCAGCCTTCCGAGAAACCGCAGACATCGAATTTGAAAGACGACTTTATAATACATTATTGAGACAGAAAAAAAAAAAAAATGTATTTCTGAGCTACAAAACAAAAGATGCATTGTGAAAAAACAACTTGCAAGTGTACTTTCCCCAATTTAATAATTGTTTTTCATAAATATATTTGCGATGCCGTCAAAAGTGACACAGCGAGGAAGATTTCGTTGCTCGGGAATAACATTCAACTATAAATATTGTACAAATGTATACCTTGTACAATGTAGGTATACTATTACGTAATGCACAAAAGGCACGGGCGTCGATTAAGCGCTCGATTGGCAATAGCACTGGATTCCTCGGCTAATTCAATTGAAAGACCAAGTGTATATATATGTATGTACTTGGACACACATCCCGTGGGACAGAATCGCACGATCACCATATCATCGCGTTGTGAATTATATGACTGGGTTGGGGGCGAGTTAACGCATGGCACAATGTGTAAGAGCGTCAAGACGGAGGGAAAAAAAAGTTACTGCGCGTGCAGTGCGAGAGAAGACCTCCCCGGGGGACTTAATGAAACTGGAGCGAGCGCGACTTAACGCGCAAATCGCATGTGTTCTCCTTTTTTTTTCCGTAGAATTTCCCCGTGTGTATAATTACAATCCGTATAGGTGTAATCAAGGGGATGCACTGAAATAGTCGCTGACAACCGAGGCAGAATAAAGATGAATACTTTTCCTCTACGAAACAAATTGTTTGATTTTTTTTTTCTTTTTTTCCATTGAGAAAAGAGGGGGTGGATCAGCCAAGCAAGTTATGGCATCTCCTGAGGTTAAGTTATCTAGAAATCCAGTGTACTTAACTAGTTTTTTTTTGTTATCTCAAGTAGGACGCGACAACACGCGTATGAAACATCGTACTATTAATGTAAAAAAAAAAAAAAAAAAGTTGAGGGACCATAATTAATAGAAATCGTCAGTACCCATACTTATAGTTATCGTAGAATACATTTGTTTTTCTATTTCGAATGCGCCATCAAAAACATCACGTACATTTGACGGGCACATTTTTTTCTTCTTTCAACAGCTGAAATGTAACAAAACGCAAAGTCATGCATGAAAAAAAAGGCGAAACCAATGCCTCATATAGGCACACAGAAGCGATCAAAGTTTCGTATCGCGCGTGAAAGTATTTGTCACGTCGACTCATGATCAGTATGCACACGTTGCCGCGACGCGTAAGAAAATTTAGCGTATACGCGTAGAGCTGTAAAATATAAACGAAAAAGGACAGCTACAAAGTATAATATAGAGATTGGCAGTACTGAGGCGTGCGTTAAATACATATGCACTATGTATAAAGTCAAGTTAGTGGTATATGAGCTTCAGGACACCGATTTCGTAGTGTAAGTATATATATATTTATACGGGCGAGACGTGCGCGTTGGACTAACTGTCTAATTTCATGAGCGCAATTGACTTCCGGCCGAGTGCGCCCAAACTGCTACTTCCTGACGGGGGTCGCAGTGCGTTTTTATTATGGCTGTCTATGCCTACACACACTATGTCGTCCGGCCTACTTTCATCGCTGCACTGGGTTTAGAGAGGAGACGAGATTATTATTTTTTTTTTCCTCTCCATTATATATAATAATAATATAAATGAACGATTCCGTAAAAAATATTACATATTGTGTTTATGGTTGAACAGCAACAGTTATTTAAATCCAGTCGTGTTTTTCTTAATACTATGTATGATTTGTAAAAAGAATATCATATCTGATTCAAGTTCAATAGCCAATTAGAAATGACTACAACACAGGGCACATTGTCTCATATTATACGCACAGTATAACGGAATAAAAAAAATCAACTTATGATTTATGTACAATGTATGGTATTCTTTAAAAAAAAAAAGAAAACAAATCATAGTATTGTTTTTTCGAACCAGTCAGACAACAGATGATTTTTTGAGGAATCGCTCACAAATGTTCCCGAGGAGCTAGCGATTTTAGGTACATACATCAGGGAAAGGACAAACAAAAACGGGAGAGAAATAACAAGAAGCACACTAGGTACACGCTATATGTGTAACGTATGCGTATGCACCTCGGAAGGAGCAGCTGCAGGTTCTTCATCCCCTCTCGGTGAGAAAATCCGATCTTACGCGCTACCGTGATTAATCGCCCTCCCCCTATTCACTCTTGTTTACCTACAACACGCGCATCTCCGTGTACTCCACAAGTGCGAGATTTACGGGGTTTTTGTGTGTACCGCTTGCACCTGTTTATGTACACGTACGAGTGACGAGAGCGAGTTTTTTTTTGTTTCCCACCCGATCTTTTCATCTATCGCCGCGCTTGCCGATTTCTCGATCGGTATAGTTGTAATTCCAAGAGATTCTTTTCTCATAAAAAAAAATAAATTACTTCCAACTCATTTGAATTTACGTTTCTCAATAAAAGTATACAGACATATAATTCGACCAATTGCATCTTTGAAGCGCAACGCAGTCTATGTTTTTTTTTTTTTTTTTTTTTTTTTTTTTTTTTTTTTTTTTTTTTTTTTTTTT